AAACCGGGGTCCCCGCCCGGGGCCGCTCCCTGGCCCGGCCCAGGCTCGGGAGGCAGAGCGGTACTCACGCGGCCGTGCTTGCTGTCTGCCCGCCTCTCTCCTCCGCGACAGCTGAAAGGAAGGCACGGAGGATGCGATTACGCGATTGCCATTTATGCAGACGGCGTGTCCGCCCCCCGAAGCCAATCAGAGTCACGCTGCTCTGCTCATTCACAGGCAGCATCTCCCGCCGCCACCCGCCCCCGGGGCCTGGCCAGAGAGGGCTGGGCAGGACCAGGGGACCGCAGAGCCTGAGGGGCCAGGGGCCAGGGCCGAGGGAAAGGAGTCCCGTGTCCCCAGTCCCTGAGCGAGCCCAGTTCCCGTCCTGTCCAGAGGCACCAGGGCCGGGCAGCCGGGAGCACTTGCTCTGTGACAGGCTGGGCCAGGCCTCTCTCCTCCCCGTAAACACTCCCTGGGGGCGACGGGGACCCCCGACAGGAGGGTTGGAGGCTCAATGTGCCCGGCTCCTTCTGCTCTGTTCTGGTCAGAGAGAAGCAGAGGCAGGAGAGGTTCGAGCCCAGGCTCATCATATTCACAGCCCTGTTCTTCCACCCGGAAGCAACCAGCAGCTCTTCACGCAGCGGCGGGCTCGCTCCCCCACCTCCCGCAGGCTGGGGGGCAGGACAGGTGCTTTCCCTGTAAGGGGCTCAGAGCCTTGTGGGCCCAGAGAGGGGCTGGGGGCCACTCAGGCGGGAGGCGCAGGTGGGTTCTGCTGCTCGCACACACACATGCACACACACATACGTGTACACAGACACACATGCATACACACCAAACACACCCACAGCATGCTGACACTACACCCTCAGCACATACATGCACACCCACAGCATGCAGGTACCACACCCACACACATGCACACAGCATGCAGACACACATGCACATACATACACACAGCACATACATGCACACGCACAGCATGCAGGCACCACACACAACCACAGCACCTGCATGCAGGCATGTGCACACACTCCCCACACATGTGCACACACTCTCAGGCCTGTGGCTGTCAGGAGCCAGGAGCTCCGCCCACAGAGCCAGGGGCCTGGTCCGAGGAAGCAGCAGGCCCTGGAGCCCGTGCCCTCTGGGCAGAGACCTGCAGGCTTGAGCCGGCCAGGGGCCGGGCTGCTCCTCAGCAGGTGGGCGGCTGGCAGGGCAG